GAGGTATACATTTTATTAAACTTTAATTTGTTTTTCTCCTGCTAATCTGCTTCATTTTAATTTGATTATTAGATTAGCCACAAGAACCAACCTAAAATAATCCTTATGCCAAAAATATATATTTTGGGATGATAAATTCTGCTCCCCACACTTCCACATGTGAAACTTCAAATAAGAAGTTTCACATTTCAGCCTGGCCGGTGTAGCTTAGTGGATTGAGCGTCATCTTATGAACCAAGAGGTCACTGGTTCGATTCCTGGTCAGGGCACATGCCCAGGTGTCAGGTTTGATCCCCATTGGGGGCATGCAGGTGGCAGCTGATCAATGTTTCAATCTGTCTCTCCCTCTCTCTCTCAAAAAAAATCAATAAAACATTTTTTTTTTAAAGTTTCACATTTCAGAAGCTAAGTTGATAGATTGTTCCAGATTGCATTAAATCAGGCTTAGTCTTGAGACTTGTTCAGTTCAGTTAAACAGTTGTGTCTCGTTTCAGGAGGCTGTCTTTCAGGTAAGCTCCCAAAGTTAGGCAAGCAACCAGGTAATTAATAAGAGGCATGTGTGTGGAAACAAATGAAAAACAGTGGTTAATGATTGCAGCAGATTATAAAAGTTTCTGAGCCAAGGGTGCAGCCAGTCAAGAAGATTTCTAGATATTAGGGTTGAAACATCTTTTGATGGAGTGAAGGTAGGCAGTGACAATCTGATAAATTTTCCTGGTTTTCAGTTTAAATGTCTCTGGTGGTTGTTCTGCAGTAGGCACAAAGATTGTCTATGGATTAGCTATTGTGGAGATTCCCTTGGAAGTTTACATCCAGTCATGTAGTTTAAGTTTGCAGGGCTTAAGGAAAGAGGTCAGTTTTACTTCTCAATGATTCCAAGTCAGAAGGGTGGGAGAGAAGAGGAAATGTGAGTTTGGAGAGCTACCACCAAATATTTGAAGAAACTAGAAGAATTCAGGGCCCAGTCCAGTTTACAGGTAGAAAATAAAGACAATTAACTAGAATCTAAATATTTTTTTTTATCCTCACCCGAGGACATTTTTCCAATTTTTGTACAGAGTGGGAGGGAGAGAGAGGGAGAGAGAGAGAGAAAGAAACATCGACGTGAAAGGGACACATCGAGTGGCTGCCACCCGCACGACCAACCAGGGCCGGGGACAAACTGCAACCGAAGTACATGCCCTTAGCGGGAACCGAACCCGGGTCTCTCCGGACCGCAGGCCGACGCTCTAACCGCTGAGCCAAACTGGCCAGGGCTAACTAGAATCTAATATCCACAAGTATGTATTATAGTTTCTACTGAAACATATTTTTTCTCTCTAAAATCACCTGAAACCTGTAATATTTTGTTAACCAGTGTCATCCCAGTAAATCAATAAAAAGTCACCCCCCATTTTTACCAAAGACTGTCAAACTAATATTGACTAATTTGTTTGCAAAATAAGTCTAGATTCAATAAACTTGTCCTGTTATTTACATAGGAGCAGCAAGAATAACAATTAACAATATAGGCTCTTTTTTTTTTGGTGCGTGCCCCTAGCATGAACTGAACCTGGGACTCTCTGCTCCACAGGCCAATGCTCCAACCGCTGAGCCAAACCGACCAGGGCAATATAAGCTCTTTTAAATTTCTTTACTGGAAATTTTTATAAAGAATCTTCAGATGGCCCTGGCCAATTTGGCTCAGCGTTTGGAACGTTGGCCTGCGGTTCACAGAGACCCGGGTTCGGTTCCTGCTAAGGGCATGTACCTCGGCTGCAGTTTGTCCCCGGCCCTGGCTGGGTTGCGTGGGTGGCAGCCACTCGATGTGTCCCTTTCACGTCGATGTTTCTCTCTCTCTCTTCCTACTGCTCTATCTGAATAAAAAATGTAAAAATGTCCTCGGGTGAGGATAAAAAAAGGAAAAGAATCTTCAGATTGAACTTTAAAATACCTCTCAAGACCAGAAAAGCCAAGGCAAGGACTTGCCATCAGACTTTGCTTGCAATACGTATAGATTTGGTGAGTTCCTCTCTTCTTGAGGTCATCATAACATCTTGAAGTTTCTGCACCTGCCAGGAAATGATCTTCCTTACTCACCTGGTAAGGCCACTAAGAACCTTGTAAGCAAGGTGTCAAGCCAATATTTCCAAGGGTTTTATTTGTTTCTGTAAGTCAGTGTTAATTCCTGAAAGCTATCTGGTTATATCTGAGTCTATGCGTGTTTCCCTAATTTGACATTCTAGTTAAAGCCTTGGTAATATAATCAGTTTCCAATTGTGTCCTATAGAAGGAGAACAGATTCTTATTGGACTTATACAAAAAACAATATGACTATGAAAATAACAATGCTCACTGAGAGTTTCTGAATTCTGAAGGAATCAAGTAGGGAGAAAAGAGAAATGTTTCAATTCTGCTTACAAAGCATATAATTGATCAAATTGTTTTAAGTTATAGTTAGCTTAAGAGGAAAGGTTTCCTTATATCTGGGCAGGGGACAAAAATTAAAGAAATAGCAGTATTTGAAACAATTCTCATCCTCATCAGTTCATTCAGTCCTATGTAATTAAAACTTGTTTTGCTTGAATCTGTGTTTCCATTAGTTCTCTCAAGCTTGCCTGATGATTGAAGGTAATAGAGACAGTGATAATTCCAAGAAGTTTGCAACACCTTTGTCAAGGCTCATATGATTTTTGCCCAGTAAAGTGGGTGCCTCAATCACTAGACACTGTGGAAAGTGTACATCAAGTGTGAAAGACACTTTCTAACAATTTCTTTGCCACTGTAAGGGCATCAGCCTTGCAGCAGAGGAAGGCTTCAACCCATCTGGAAAATATACATACAACAATAAGAACAAATTGATAACCCTTAATAAGTGGCAGTTGAGCCCTGGCCGGTTTGGCTCAGCGGTTAGAGCGTCCGCCTGCGGTCCAGAGAGACCCGGGTTCGGTTCCCGCTAAGGGCATGTACCTCGGTTGCAGTTTGTCCCCGTCCATGGTTGGTCGTGCGGGTGGCAGCCACTCAATGTGTTCCTTTCACATCGATGTTTCCCTCTCTCTTTCTTCCTCTCTCTCCCTCCCACTCTATCTGTACAAAAAATGGAAAAATGTCCTCGGATGAGGATTAAAAAAAAAAAAAAAAAAAAAAAATAAGTGGCAGTTGAATGAAATCCAGCTTCAATGTACTATAATGGATGAGGACTATAAAAACCAAAGAAAAAATGGAATTTACCAGGGAGCCTAGCAGAACCAAGTGGCTGTCTTGGGTTTCCAGTAGCCCCAACTATTTGTTTAATTTACAGCCATTCTTTACCCATACAGTATACCCTAGGAATTTATCATCACTAATTTCACAATGCTTTCCATGCAATTTAACATACCACATAAGCCTAATCAGTTTAATATCTATTTTATAAAGAGAGAACAAAAAAATTTTGAGATGTTCTAGGGATCCTCTGAAACACCTCAAAGTTACTTCCAAGTTAAGAAAAAGACTATTTAATATTTGAATTTGGGAAAGTTTGTCAAAGTATCAAAAAGTTCTAAAGTACTTGACTAAATAGGATAATAGGTTATTACGAAACAATATTTTTTCATTTAACCAAAGTGACAATAAAATATTTTAAAAACACACCAAAGGTTACAAAATTGTTAGCAAAACTTTGTTGTTATTATTGAGATGATTCAGTTTTCTTAAGAAATCAAGGATGTGATTAAGACAACATGAAATACAGAATATGATGTTCATATAAAATAGAATTTGTTTTCTTGGCAAAAAACTTTTCACAGTACTGCATCTTAGCAAGAGCAGACCAGTAATCCATAAAAACTTTATCCTTTTAACAGAGAACACCAGACTCTAATTTTGCATCAGCTCACTTTTTTTTTTTTTTTGGTACGTGCCCCTAGCGGGAACCGAACCCGGGACTCTCTGGTCCACAGGCCAATGCTCCAACCGCTGAGCCAAACCAGCCAGGGTGCATCAGCTTACTTTTAATATTTCAATTCACTTACTTAAATTCATTCCAATCTTACTTGACCACACATAAAATTTCCTTTCTTGAGAATCCTTTTCACAGACCTTATACAAATTTTTTTGTCCCATCTAATTTGTCTCTTATTCTCTTACCCATTCAGAAATAACTTAATAACTTATTTTAGGACAAACTTATTTTCTTTTTTTGTTATTGTTGTTAATCCTCACCAGAGGATACTGCTTCCATTGATTTTTAGAGCAAGTGGAAGGGAGTGGGAGGAGGGAGAGAGAAACATCAATGTGAGAGAGACACATGGATTGGTTGTCTCTCGCTCATGTTGCAACCAGGGCCAGGGATTGAACCTGCAACCCAGGTACATGACCTTGATCGGGAATTGAACCCACAAACCTTGATCGGGAATTGAACCCACAACCCTCTGGTGCACACGCTAACACGCTAACCACTGAGCCACACTGGCTAGGGCAGGGCAAACTTATTTTCTGTTTTTCTGTTTTGTTTTGTTTTTGGTACGTGTCCCTAGCAGGAACCGAACCCAGGACTCTCTGGTCCGCAGGCCGATGCTCCAACCGCTGAGCCAAACCGGCCAGGGCCAAACTTATTTTCTTATAAGTTCCCTCAAAAAATGTATCTCTATACCTTTTCCTACTTCCTTGCATTCTAAATTGATTCCCTTATTCCTAGTAGTTTCAATTACATATATTTTGACTTTTTAACCCCTAAAATCCTCAATTTCTAATGAAAACTAAGTAACTGTGAACTGTTGAAACTGATAGCAAATCATAACAGAATATGCATAATAGAATTTAGCTTTCAGTTGAAATTATTAGGTCTTTTAAGAGTCTTAGTTGCACTGGAATTTAGTCATGTCCTAGGACCTGGAGGCCTGCATGTAAAGCAAGTTTCAGGAAGAATGTAAAAGTATGCTTTGTTTAAGACAGTAGAAGAATGTAACCTGTTAAGCATTTGATGTATTTCTCCTGCTCTTAAGATAATCACTGACTCACTGACCCGACATGTCTTTCAGAAATCTGTAAGCAGAAAAGACCACCTGGTGTCAGGAAGATCATGGACAGGATGCCATCAAGAACTAAAATGAGATTAAGAAAATTGCTGAAGCTTGCACAAGAACTGACCAATCAACACAGCCCATGACCCTGAACCCCTTAGTCAGGCTTACTCATGATATTTTACCTTTAAAACTCCCCATTTGTAAGCCATCAGTGATCTGGGTTTTTAAGTGATAGCTTCCAGTTCTCTTTGTGTGGTGCCCTAATTCCTCCAATAAAGCTACCCTAATTCCTCCACTGTAGTACTTAGTGTTCAGTGTTTGGCTCTTCTGTGTGCCGGGTGAATGAACTCTTTTATCTATAGCTTCCATTAAGATTTAATCAACAAGTTTTGGTTTTATAATACTGGGTAGGGGAAATGTTCCCCAACCAGACATAATAGCCATTTCTATTTAAACATTCAGGTAAAGTTGACATAACTTCTTTACATAATACCTGCTTAAACAATACAACTTTCATAATCTTATTAACCATGTGTTTTTTACGTTCTTTCAATCTAATTGTAGTCTGAGTCAGGGATTCACCAATGGGTTTTGATACCCAAGCCCTTTTGTCAATCTTTAACTTTATAAATCGGCCTAATGGCTGCCCCAAGAAATTGCTGGTCAGGTTTCTCATTGCAGTTTTTGCTTTTCGGCTTTTTAAACTTCTTCAAACTGGTAAATAGATCAGACATGTCTAGGCCCTTTATTTAATTTATTTATTTTTGTTCTTCAGATAGAGTAGGAGGGAGAGAGAGAAAAACATTGATGTGAGAGGGACACATCAACTGGTTGCCTCTTGCATGACCCTGACCAGGTCCAGGGACCAATCGAAACCCAGGTACATGCCCTTGACCGGAATCGAACCCATGACTCATTGGTCTAAGGGCCGATGCTCTACTGCTGAGCCAAACCAGCCAAGGCTGTTTGGGCCCTTTAATGTTGAAGGACTGAAAAAGGGTCTCTTTGGCCTGCCTAACCTTATGTTTTAACCCCAGCAATGTACACTTATCCCATTTTTTAACCTAAATATTCCCACCCTGCTAAGACAAGTCCTGTGAACCTTCCCTTTCTGTTTCCTGTTTGTTTGTTTTGTTTTTGTTAATCCTAACCCAAGGATATTTTTTTTCCAGTAATTTGTGCAGAGAGTGGAGGAGAAAGGGAGAGAGCACTGGAGTGAGAGACATATCAATTGGTTGGCATGCACCCCAGCTGGGGCCGGGGAATGACCTGCAACCCAGGTACATGCCCTTGACCAGGAATCAAACCCTCAACCCTTTGGTGTATGGGCCAGCGCTCTAACCACTGAGGCATGGAGCAGGACTGTTCGTTCTTTTTTTTTTATCCTCACCCGAGGACACTTTTTCATTCTTTGTTCAGATAGAGCAGGAGGGAGAGAGAGAGAGAGAAACATCGATGTGAAAGGGACACATCGAGTGGCTGCCACCCGCACGACCAACCAAGGCCGGGGACAAACTGCAACCGAGGTACATGCCCTTAGCGGGAACCGAACCCAGGTCTCTCCGGACCGCAGGCCGACGCTCTAACCGCTGAGCCACACCGGCCAGGGCTGTTCGTTCTTTTTTTTAAGTTTTATTTTTAATTGGTTTTAGAGAGACAGAGAAACATTGATCGGTTGCCTCCTGCACATGCCCCAACTGGGGACCGAATGCAAAACCTGGGTTTGTGCCCTGACTGGGAATTGAACCTATGACCCTTCGATACACAGGACAATGCTCCAACCGACTGAGCAACACTGGCCAGGGTTCTGTTTCCTATTTCTTTTGTTCCTATCAATATTTGCATTATTCGCCCTATTTTTTAATAACCTTTTATTTAAAAAAATTCTAAGAGTCTTTTGATTCCTCTGCCTTTTTCCATTCTCTTATTAACTTAATGCTTTTATTCGCATCTGTAAGATCCATGAGAGAAGCTGAGACAGCAAATCAGTAAGACTTCTCAACCTGATGTGTTTTTAATAAGGCTAGTCATTATAATTCTTTGCATCCACTTTTGAAATTGGTCTTTCTATAGGTACCAATGAAACAGCTGTTAGGATGAGAGCTCTCTAAAAATTTTCCAGTTTAGAAGTTTTTCCAGTTCAAAGGATGCATCATCATCTTGTTATCATTGGGGAGCACTCTTTGTCACCACCTGCTGCTGATGGGAGTGGGCTTCTTGCCACGTCTTGAAAAAAGGAATTTTCTGACACGGGAGGATGAGGTATTGTAGAAAGCTTTATTTCTGTGGAATTACACCCCTGATTTTCCAAGGTCCCATTTCCCTTCATCCTGCCAAGAAAGAAGTCCAGCTGTGCCTTTAATAGGGCTAGAATTAAAGCTGTTGCCCAGTTTCCCTTCCAAGTCTGCACACTCTAATCCAGCATCAGGCTAGCTTAATTTGTGCTCCCTGCTGCAGTCCATCAGTCCATTGCAAGCGGGGTTCACAGGACCACATGGCTATGGAAGGAACATAGGTAGGAGCAAAACCACAAGAGCCAAGAAAGCAAACTCCTTTGGGGGATTATGTATCCCCAAATTTTCATGGGCTTGCAGTGACCAATGATCTGTTCCCAGGCACGTACCTTTTCTATGTCAACACTGCTCACTGCGCATGTGCCCATCTTTCCCTTTCCCATTCCGTTCCCCCAGTAATCTGCAGGGGATGGGCCAGTGGTTGCCAGGGGAGTGTAAATTTGCAGCTTCCTGGTGAAGCTGCCCAGATGGTCATGCTTATAATGTCTGGCCTCCCTTTTGTTCCCTTCCTATTATTATTTTTAATGTTTTTATCGATTTTTTTAGAGAGAGAGGAAGGGGGAGAGCGATGTGTGAGAGAGAAACATTGATCAGCTGCCTCCTGCGTGCCCCCTACTGGGGATCAAGCCCACCACCCGGGCATGTGCTCTGACCAGGAATCGAACAGGGACCTGTCAGTCCATGAGACGTCACTCAATCCACTGAGCCACACTGGCCAGGCTCCTTTCCTATTAATAATGAGCTAATTATAATGGTATCAGTCTGACCATCTAACAAGATCAATTAATGTCAATAGCGACCGAAATCACTAAGGTTTTTGGCTTAATCAAGGAAGAGCAATTCACAAGAGAGTGCAAAGGATGCAGCCTTCATGACATCCATAAACCTACTCCCATAGTAGTCTAAAACAGTGAAAGCCCTTCATTATTACAGGTGGTAAAGCAACAAAGGTTGAGAAGAAAAAGGCCGCTTATGGACTGGCACCCCTAATGACAAATTCCTCTAAGAGTTAGCACAGTTAGACAAAAAGGCAAGAAGATGCCAGTCAAATAGCTACAGCTGCCCAATTGCAAGCCCCAGATATTACTGTGCTTTGATCCTACTGGATACAGCTTCCCAGAACCCCCAGTCTATATTGGGGTGCCAAATATATTCCAGTCTGCACAATCAGGATAGTAGAGATGAAAGAGAAAGTCAAATCCAAGCTCTCAAAACAGAACAAGACAAACAATATAAATCAAGAAAAAGTGACCATCTCGGAAAGGATGATCAGTAAATAAAAACCCAAGTCACTAGGCCCAAGAAGCTAGATTCACCCATTTCTCCTGCCAATCTAGGGAAAGAAAGGACTCAGCACTTCTAAATTCCATCAAAACCCCACAGACAGAGATCAGAGAGGCTCACAGGATAAGAATGCTTACCTCTTGGCAGCATTTTGTCAGACATCACAGAATTCTCAGCTGCAGCAGTTCCCAGCAGCTAGTGATGTCCCACCCAGTGAGTTTTCCTAACATATTTGCCAAAACTGTCAGGAAAGAAACATTTTACTCTGCCTTTCAAAGTTTTTCTGGCTTGTCTAATCAAATTAACAAGACATTAGCAGGAGAAAAACAAAATTTAGTAACATGTATACCTCCTATACACATGGGAGAGACCCAGGAAAACTGAGTAACTCTCACCAAAATGATGAAGCCATCACCATAAATACCACCTTCACCTAAAGACAAAAGAAGACCTTGGGGATGGAGACAGTTATGGGAGGTTTCCAGGAAAAGCACAGCAAACAAGAGCAAGATTGTTATGAAGATTTTTTTTTTTTTGCATTTATCTTCAGATAGAGTGGGAGGGAGAGAGGGAGGAAGAGAGAGAAACATTGATGTCAGAGAGACACATCGAGTGGTCGCCACCCACACGACCCCAACCGGGGCCGGGGACAAACTGCAACCAAGGTATATGCCCTTAGTGGGAAGCAAACCCAGGACTCTCTGGTCTGCAGGATGATGCTCTAACCGCTGAGCACCCGGCCAGGGCTGTTATGAAGATATAAGTCCATTCCTTCTCCATCAATAGCGAGGGCAGGCCTAGTAGAGTGAGGGAAACACACAGAGATATTTCATTAAAAAGTCACTCCTGGCTGGTGTGGCTCAGTGGCTGAGCATCAACCCATGCACCAAGAGGTTGCCGATTCAATTCCCAGTCAGGGCACATGCCCAGGTTGTGGGCCTGATCTCCAGTGTGGGCATGCAGGAGGTAGCCAATCGATATTCTCTCTCATCGATGTTTCTCTCTCCCTTCTTCTATCGATGTTCTCTCTCATCGATGTTTCTCTCTCCCTTCTTCTCTCTCTAAAATCAATTTAAAAAAGAAAAAAATTAAAAAAAAAAATATATATATATATATATCCCCTGGCCAGGTGGCTCAGTTGGTTGGAGTGTTGTTCCATACACCAAAAGGTTGCGAGTCAGGGCACATACCTAGGTTGCAGGTTTGCTCCCCAATAAGGGCGTGTACAGGAGGCAACTGACCAATGTTTCTCACATTGATGTTTTGTTGTAGACCAACAAGACAGACCGGACTCAGACTCCGAACTGGGTTCAAATTAAGAGAGCTTTATTAGCCGCACTGCGACTGTCCCATCCTACTCAGAGGAGAGAGCAGCCCCAAGCTCAGGGGGAGGGTTGCTTATATAGTCATATTAGGCCCTGTTAAGGAATTTGGGCCCTGGCCGATTTGGCTCAGCGGTTAGAGCGTCAGCCTGCGGTCCGGAGAGACCCGGGTTCGGTTCCCGCTAAGGGCACGTACCTCGGTTGCAGTTTGTCCCCGGCCCTGGTCGGTCATGCTGGTGGCAGCCACTTGATGTGTCCCTTTCACATCGATGTTTCTCTCTCTCTCTCTGTTCCTCTCTCTCCCTCCCACTCTACCTGAACAAAAAATGGAAAAATGTCCTCGGGTGAGGATATAAAAAAAAAAGGAGGAATTTGGATTAAGGGTATGTG